TTCACTTCAGGCTTTATTGTTTAAAATTCTCTACATCTTTTCTTAAATTAGAAGGTAGCGTGAACTAAAATTAATTTTAAGGTTTTTTCCTAACCATCTTTCTAAAACCAGTGATCTCAGAATTGTTTTGTAGATAATAGGCATAAAAACAATAGAAGACTGAATCAAATATGCATAAGGCTAAATAGTCAGATAAATGGTTTTTATTTTATATTATGTTTTAAAATCTTTAGTAGGAACTGGTTTACTGGAGCTTTATAGTTCTCTCTGAAAAGTGAAATGTGGAAAATACTTACTAAACATAATGTTACTTAATAGAAATTTTATTCTAAAAACCAAAATGAAGTGAAAAGCAAGTTGTTATGAAATGGAAGCCTATGTGGGTTAGATTTTTTCTGAAGGCTAAATGTCAACTCAACATTGAGTAACAGAAAATAGATCATGTGGCATCCATTGTATCTATTCATGCTCTGTGAACACAAACAAACATGGTTGGGGCTGCAATTGCTTTGCATGCATTCAATCCAGAGTGCTTCCTGCACTTAAGTCATAATTTATATTTTATGCCCATGGCCATCTGTGCTCAGGACATCTTAACCTATATAGAGTAATATGGTTTGCAATGCTTTGGTGATCCTCATACTTCTAAATTTCATGTTAATTTCTATTGGTGTCCATCAGCACATTTCCACTCCCACCCCCAACATAAACATTTATGATCTTTGAAGGCCAGCTTCGAGTGGTTTTCAAAAAACAAAATTTGCTTTTTCAATCTCCTATCATTTTTTTTACCTTTAAAAAATTGATTGAGTCATGTGATGCTTTTACACAGGATGATCAAAAATACACAAAACAGCCAAACTAAAGAAACTTTTGATTGACTTTTCCAAACCTACAAATGGCCCATAGGCTTTCCATTTTTTACGCCAAGCACAAAGTATTCTAGGTGGTGGTATTGCCTGAAAATTCCCACACAAATAATGAGATAAACTTTCCCATAGACTTCATCACTCCTTGTTAAGTTCATATTCATGCATGGACCACAACTGGGGTGCATGCAGAGCTGCACTAAAATTCTGTTACATTAGGTCCTTGAAAAACCAACTAAGCAAATTTAACCTATATGTCAATGTACTTTAAAACATGTCTCTTCTTTCTTCACCCCTAATTTAGAATCCAGGCTTAAAACTAGTTGAATATGACAAGATTCACAGGCAAAGTAACTTCCCAAATCGCTAGACGTGTTTTGTCCAATTCTCCCAGTTGGAGAGCTATGTTTATAGTGTCATATACACTTGTTAAGTGTGTTCTATGTACCACATACCCTCTAAGGTATCATATAATTTCAGCCTAGTAACAGACAAATGCAATTCTCATTTGGGAAACTGAGGCCCTAGAGGTTAAATGCCTTGACTGAGGTTATGACTGTTGAGATCCTCAATCTGAGGCAGAGCAGCTGTTTGAAGCCATATGTGTCTTACTCTGCATTTCCTTTCTTACCTACTGTTATGCTACAACCAGGCCGGAGGCCAGTGAGTCCGAGCCATTCTTCTGCTGTGGCTCACTCACTCTAATAACTGCATTTTGCAGCACCATCAGGAGGCCATTTTCAGTTATTCTTTTCATTAATATCCACTACTCTATCATTATTAGCCTTTTGGTTTTATCTGGTTTATGTTTTTAACTACTCCTAGTTCAAAAATTCATAAACCAACACAACATTCTGGCTTCAAAATACATAAGATGGTGCTTATTTTAAATAGATAACCATAGCTTTCCAACCAAAAACCAAAACAAAATTACCATATACTTCTTGATTATAAAGAACTTAAATACTAGGCTTTTACTGTTTTGGGGTTCTTCTTTGGGTGATTGTATAAAATATAAAGAAGTAATCATTTATCATGATCTTGTAATAACTCTTTGGACCTCTCTCAGAATATCTGCCTTAGAGGAGAATGCTAATGATCAAATTAAACTCTCTTAATACTAGGGTTAAAATGAAGAAAGCATACACAGGCTCCAATACACATTGTCTTTTCTAGCTCCTAATAATTTCCCCTGTAGTATAGATTTCTGATAAAGCAAAATACAGGCTCTTCAGAAATGTGTCCATGATGGCAGACAAACTGGTATATTTCTTCCTATAACTACTTATTCTTTCCTTCATTCATCCTTAAGCTCATTCTAGGCCCCTCCTCTCTATATATCCAAAGGCACAAATGCTTATGATTAAAGCGTAAGAGGCCAAAGTTCTTCTGAGGATATATATATAATTACACTTTTCAAGACAGTTAGTAAGAGATATAAAGTAGATACTTAGAGCATAATGCAGACAGTTCTTCAGTTAGTGATTGGTTGTGTATCCTAGATCAATAATTATCAGACACCTATTTGGTTTTTAAGATGCAGCTATCTTGATATGAATGGAATAGATATTCTGTCTACTGATTTGTTTGACTCAAAGAAAGGCCTGTGTGCAGTGGCAGAACTTCTTTTCCAGGAACAATAATTCATATTTTTTGAGATATGATATCATATATTGCCCTAAGATTTATGCAAGGTGCAACATTTCCATTTTATATTTTTAAATGTTCCAGCAGTGAGATGGTTTATTTCAATTCCATTGCATAGTTGTCTCCAAGCACCACTTATATTTGTTTTAAGGGAGGGCCCCAAAAAGCCAAACCTAGACAATGATCTCCTGAATTGCACCAGCACAATTTAATACAATACCATTACATTGAAAACATTTACATGTATAGTCGCAAATCTACTTATTTTAAGCATAGTTTATATAATATTTTGACAGACAAAAATAGATGTTTAGAACCATTATATGTATCTGTCTGTTCAGTAGCAAACTTACAATAAATTATACATTATGCTGGAGTAAATTTTCTCAAAGACTAAAAAGAAAAAGTCACACTTTATGTTTAAAATACAATGCCTATTCATTATTTCCAAATAAATAAGCTAATAGCCATTACATTAGATTCACTTATTTCAAGCTTACATTCATTTGACATTCACATAAAATTCATTATTTTAACAGTAGCAACAAAGTTGAATTTTACACTGAGTGTTTGAAAGCTTGTTGACTTTTCAGTCCAGCTACAAGCTTAATGTTTTGGAAAATATGTGTGGGGGAAAAAAAGCACATTAAAATTACCCAAGAAACCATGTTATTAGGTTACAATTATTGTAGAAGTATGAAAATAAAATATGTGTTTTATCCTAATACGTAGTTTTTAATATTTTGGACAAGGTAAACCCTCCCCCCCCTTATCTTTCTATTATTACAAAATGAATGGAATGGAAGAAATTTTCACTGTTAATATTTATTCTATTTCACTGGATTTAAATATGGTTATTGCACATATCTGAACATATTTGGATAACTGTTGCCCAGTAAAATAGTAAACTATAACATCTTCAAAGAGACTAAATCTCTGTTATATTCTATTACAATATGGGTGATATCGTCTATGGAAGCTGGCGCCTAAATAGGTTGAAAGAAAAATTCAGGGTGATGGGGTGCATAAAAACAATTATTCAGGTAGTGTGCTGGAGAGCATGGAACATCTGAAGGAACAGATGTACCAGGAACTGCGGTCCCCAACAATTCACTTTTCCATGCCAAATGTTTCCATCATTGTACTTTGTCCTTCGTGAGCTTCCTGCCCTGGGTTCTTCTTTCCATCCATGTCTGAGAATCTTGGGATTCCCACAGCACTGGTTCCAAAAATGTGCTCCTTCCAAGTACTCCACTGGGTACTAGGCATAAAGAAGATTCTGAGCAAATAGATGAGTGAAAAGAATTCTCTTTTCATTTAAGTATAGATGATGTTCTATAAAGATTTTGAATGCAACATCATATTCTCCATCAAGTTTTGATAAAGCATTAAAATATGGGACATTCACAACATGTAAAATTATTTAATTCATATTTAAAAAATTACCCTGTGAATTTAATTCATGTTTAATAATAAACAGATGCATTATTTGATGCTTTTAGATAATTAAAAATTTTTTTAAAAAGGAATTCTAGCTTCCTGAACACAACTTTTATACTTAATGTTGAACACTGAATTAACTTCATTTTGTCTATGAATTGCAAAACAAATGTTTTTGGACAATGTGCTTTAGTTTAAATAAGTCATGTTGCCTTTCCTTATTGGATCAAATGCTCAGATAATTTTTTAGCTCATCAATTCACTCTGTTTTTGTAGACACAGCTATGGTTATTTCTATAATGTGACTACTGGGAAAGCATTTAAAATTCTAAAATGGATACAAACCATTGCATATTTATATACATATATGTATTTTTTAACTCCAGAAAAGGAGTAAAATAATATTTAATGACCAACCTCATGAAAGTTATATGGACACCAAATGCTAAAATTGATGGCTTTTTCCCTTTAGGACTTATTCTTATTTTCTGCTTTCTTCTGCATTTTAAAATTCTCTATAGTTGTGATTTGTCTAGTACCTAAGACTGGCTTTTGCAAAAAGTGCCACAGAATCACTCTCTTGACACTAAATCATCCTCATGAATGAATGAATGTTCAAAATTGAGAGGGTTTTGTTTTTCTAGTTTTATCAAGAGGTGCTGTTCATCTCTCATTAACCTTAATTGGTGCTACGCTGCTACCTCACCTTATATATGGCTCAATTTCACTTCCAATACCAATTTAGATAGGAAGCCAAGACATTACTTCTTTTATCATGAAGCAAAACTATATAAACTTCAGATGAAAGTGAAAACCCACTCTTCTTCCTGTCACTTTCTGCTTAATGGCCTTCTTGATTTATTGCTTTAAGGTTGCCTAATAATCATGACTTCCATCCTCCAGGTATGAGTTTCAATGCATATGGTAGCTATTAGACACACTCAAAGGAACCAGTGCTCCTCTACAAAGATGGATTCTATTTTCCTATTACCTTGTACCTAAAGAAATGACACAACATGATATTTTGTGTGTAAACACAAAATGCTTTGTCTGTGCTCAGAATAATACGTGCCACTACAAAAAGAGAAACGAATTGCATATTCAGCAAATGTTCTAGTTAAGAACATGAAAGAAAGGATTAATCATCATATCAGGACAATCAGTGGTTAGTTTGTTGCACCATTCATTGGAGTAATGGCAAGTTCCTCTCCTGACTTCACTGCGACAGTAAACTAGACCCACTAGTGCATTAGCAGACAAGGTCTGGATCAAGTCCACCTAATTTCCTTGGCTCTTTCGTTTTGTATCTACTTCTTTTTTTCAGAATAAATACTCTGTTTGGCCCTCTGTTCTTTGAGCAGGTCTTAATTCAATTTTGAATACTTAACAAAACTAACTAGAGTCAGGATCAAATGAGGATGAGAAATATCGATGAGAAAGCAAGCTGTTGCTTTCACAGATGCTTCCTTCTAGCTTGGCTTGCATTTTTGCAATTGCACTTTTATATGGATTTTTGTCTTCCTGAATGCTGTTTGTTTTTAAAGTATATTTTTTATATGCTGCAACCGAGACTAGCCTGCTGTAGTGCTCTGTTTGTGAAAGCAATATTTTATTTGGATGGGGTCATTATGAGTTATCTTCAATCCCAGAGCCTTCTGGGCTGGAGTCAATGTCAACGAAGGCCTCCTTATTGGTGAAAGTGGTGCTGAGAGTTATGCTCTGTCGGGGTTTCACAGGTGCAAGTTCATCCAACTTAATGTTTTCATTTTTGACCAGAATTGTCTTATCCATGTTTTCTTCACTGTGCCTTGCGACAACAGCATCAAACACATCTAATTTGGGCGGCAAGGTTCCACTTTCAAATAGGTATTTGGCTAGATAGGAGATGCAAATGTTGGATAAGAACGAGGTAACCATGGCAAGGGTTTTAAATGGGAATCTCTGATTATATATGCCATTCTTATCAGAGTAATAACCAGGGTAAAAGATCAAGGGCTGTAGGTACAGATATGGCTCCCCGCCGGTTATTCTCAGGAAAAGGCCAGACACATAACCTGTCACAGCCCCATATGTGTTGGTTCCCTTGACGAAGAGCACACAAAGCAGCTGGGGGAAGATGATGATGTAAACGAGGTCTGAGCTGAGGTACCAGAGCCCGTACACAGTCTTCGTTAGTAAGGCCATGGCTGTAGCAGACGCTCCAAACACAAATACAGTGATTCGCATGACCCAGATGATTTCCTTGTCTGATGCCTGCAAGAAATTGCCACAGTAACAGCTTTTCACATAGTGTACTGAATCATTTAGGTGAAGAATGAGATGTATCTCTGTGCTTTAAAGCTGGTGTAAAAAATTCCCCTGGTTCATATAGTTCAATGTGGCCAAAATCGCCTAAACCACATCGTAGGGAGCAAGCCATCTAGGTGGCCACCTTGGTGGGCCTTTGGGAGGGGTTTCTGTGTGCCATGTGCAGAAGCACAGGCAGCTACACCTTTCCCTGAACGTGCATGGGAGAGGTGAGATGAACTAACATGCTTTCATAGGGGAAAAATAATGCAAGAAAGGATTTCACATAATTTACATAAGGAATTAAGGACAATTAAGGAATAATTCCTATGTGGCTGTGAGGAGATATGGTCCACCCTTGCTTGCTGTCTCCTGGGAGTCCTACCATCTTTAAGTCTAGCCACCTTAAGAACAAGTGGGACCATTTTGTTCACTATGACCTAGAAAAACTAGAGAAAGACAAAACCTTAGTGAAGGAAGAAGGTGAATAGGGGCTATTGGCTCCTCAGTGACACAACGACACAGGTGCCGTTCTGCACCTACTTGATTCAATAAGGTCAATCACACTGAAAGGCAATTTTCTTACCAATATAGACTTGGGAGTTCAAGTGAAGAGTGGGACAGATGCTACACAAATGCCCAGGAAATAACTTACTCACTATGCTCTGCTTCAAGTTTCTTACCATATTTGATTAAACTCAAAGTTTTTCGATGTTTTAGGTTTCATGACTCTTTCATTAGAAAGACAAGAAATGTAAATTATAGCAATATGACTGTACCTCTCGAAAAATGCTAGTGTTGATTTGGTCCCTTCCATACCAACATAAATGATAACATGCATTAAAAATGTTTATGTACTGCTTAAACAAAATTCAGCATTATTTAACCTTGTGTGCTTAATCAAACTAGAGTCCGATTTTAATATAGGATATTAATAAAGATGTAATACTACAGACACAGTAAGTACAATGACAACAACAACAACATTACATTTGGAAAAACCACTCTTACATTTTGCCTGAATGAAAGCTGGTAGATGTTCCGGGCAAACATGGAACTTGCTGACAAGATCGAAGAATCTGCTGATGACATAACAGCAGCAGAAACTGCACCAAGACCAAAGAAAGAAATGTACACAGGACAGAGGTACTTCAGAACAATGGGTAGGATCATGTCTGCTTCGTTTTTGTCCTTGGGACCTAGAGGCCCATATGAAGTCTGGTTCCAGTCTGTTGAATAGAAAAGACACATATAAACACAACCAAAGAACCATATGTTCTTTATCCATCTGGGGCTCATCCTATTTACTAGGAGCTTTTGAAATAAATTCAGAATGTATGAATAAGTCTAATTAAGGGAGAAGTCTATAATTCGGTCTAGAAATCTAACTAGGTATGTTGGTCTGAGTAGGTGGGAAGTCCATTGTCTTATATACAATTCTGGCTTCTAATGGGTTTTGGTTACACTTCGCCTTATTCATAAGACCTATTATCTATCTATCTATCTTCTATCATCTATCTGCCTATCAATCATCAATCATCTATCTACTTACCTACCTATCTATTACCTATTTCTATTCTGTAATTATGACATCAAATTGTACAGAATCATAGAAAACAAATGTTATAAAACAAAAGCATCGAGTATGTCTTCAACAAGTTGGAGATGTGAGAGGACACTGAGTGTTTCAGTCCTCAGTCCTCAGTCATACATGCGTTAATGTATAGACAGTAGTGGAGCTATTCTCACCCATCCTCTTCCTGTATATAAACTTGGTTTTGGACCTCCCTCATCATTATTTTTCTCCCAACTAAATTCCTTCTTGGATTGGATTCTACCTCCTGGAAACAGGAGGCATGATACGTAAAGGAAAGTCCTTGCTTTATCGAATAGAAAGTGCAGGTATGAGCCTGCACTTCAGGAGGATTTTGGACGTTGTTAAAAGGACTCAAAACATAAAAGATAAAAAGAGTCTCAAGGAAGCAGGAGGGCATGGGCACCAGAGATCCACAGGCAACTGTTTGCAGCACATCTCTGGCTAAGTGTGTGGGCCAGGCTGTTAAAAGCAATGAACCAGTTTGACAGTTGTGAAGATAAGGAAGAAATGGGCAGAGAATGGCAAGTGCTTGATTTTGTTAAAGCAAGAAGTAAAAAGAAGAATCATCATTGGATTAATTCAGTGGTTCGCAAACCTTAATGAACACTGGGATCTCTCAGGCATGCCTTTACAATGCGGAGTATCCTGAAAGATTCTGATTGCATAAGTCTGAATGATGATAATATTCAGCCAAATCTGGGAATTCACCAAATTATAGTTAGTGCAATAGATTAACTTTTGGAGTAAAATTTCATTACAGAGTATTACCAATTTTTTTTATCTCACAAAATAACACTGTGAAGCTGATTTAGAAAAACTACATTCATAAATTATACAACCACACATTTTCATACAATAAGTAATATATGTAAGTGTCTGAAAATGTTTTTTAAAACCACAAAGCCAAGTAAGCAACATGCAGTTTCTTCAAATATATAAATGGTTTTTTGAAAAAAAATAGGCAAATATGCTTTGACGTTTTAAAATTTGAAACTTAGAAATTATATCTGATATTGATACTATGAAGAAAATAAGACACTGTATTTTTTATTTCAGAAAGTTTGTCTTTTTATCATAATTGAAGGAATTGCATGATCAATTAAACACTGTCAGCATTATTTTCCAAAATTTTCCATTAATTTTTTAAATGCAGCCAAAAACCTGTATGTTTTGATTTATACAAACCTGTCCATTAACGGTCTAAGACTCACCAACATTAATATTATTCTTCTTCAACAGAATCTGAGATAAGCCACTAGTAAAATAGGCTATAAGATTATTTAGATTTTATGATGAGTTGGTCTGCTGAACTCTAGAATTAATAGAAGGAATTATATCTTTGAATTGATTTTTTTACAGATGAAATTCTGCATTGTACTAATCTGTTTTTTTCTTATTATTTAGAAAATGTCTAATAAGGCTTTATTGTAAAAGGTACAAAAATACCTTGTGCACCATGCAAGATGGAGAAAATCATGGTGAAAACAAACGAAAAAATAAGTTTATCTTTGAATATATAGTTCTTTACTGTTTAGTTATACTATCATGTACTGAAGAATACAATGGAATCTTTAAATGTACATTAGTATAGCTCCTTTTTTATTTGCTGAACTTCTATGGCATAATTCCAGGACCAAATAGGAATGGTTTCCCTTGGATCCTATCACTTTTTTCTTCCCCCATTTTCCACTACAGTTGTTCAAAGATATGCTTTGTTGAAGCCAATTTTATAGCATTCATTGAGATGTTATGGTACCAGAAATAACAACCTAGAATGTGTACCTAATCCGAGAAAAAAATAGAGTTTACATTGGCTTTTTCAGTCTGCTGTCCTACAACACACACACACGCACACACACACACACACACATGAACACCCACACACATGCACAAGCATGAGTACACAGCCAGATCTGTTTTTTGATTGTGACAGAAATGCTATCTTTTATTCAAAGGCACACAATCACCTTTGTCAGTCATCTTTTTAAGTGCTTGTTTATGCTATCGATGAACAACTGGAATGGAGAATGTACATTATGAACCATGGCTGCTCTTGTAAAAGTTACATAATCCAAAAAGTAGTTCTACTAATTGAAAATCAAAATAGCTATGGGTGTATCACCTGTATCATCTTTACAAAACACAGTGGAGTGAAAGGTAAACTTCTTTAGTCTGTTTTAATGATTTCTACCTATAGGAATTCTTTGAATTTGGGTTACTGTGATGTATTTTCATGAATGCTCTTGGAAGCTATATAGCATAGATATGTAAATTTCAGGAAAATTAACAATTTCAATTAAATTAATGGTGAGATTTTAAAAATGTCTTAGATAGAGGCTAACTAGGAGACAAGCATCTCATTATGCTCTTTTTTACCAATTTTGAGTAAGTTATTCTCTAAGTCTCAGTACCTTAAGTTTACCTTTACCTGTACACTTATTGATTTATTTCTCCAAGAAAGAAAACTTTTAATTAACAAACTATTAAAAATGTAAAGCAGGAATCTCCAGTTCAAAGTGGTCCTTAGGTGTCAGTTAAATTTCTAAGCCAGTAGCTTTCAACTCAGGCCAACTTTGACCAACCAAGGTGCTTTAAAAAACACTGGTCTCTGGATCCATCTTAGATCATTAAAATAAAATCCCTGTAGGGTAGGATAGAAATAGGTTTTTTTTAAAGCATCTCTTCTCCTCCCCAGATGATGTCAATGTGCACCTTGACTGAGAACCACTGCTGACAGGATTACATATACAAAATTCTTAAGTATATCAACATGGGGGGGTATGCTCACATATATTTTATTAGTGGTGAGAGCAGTCAAAAACTGTTTGAAGGCACTGGGCTATAATACAATTATTTGAATGCTATAATAAAAGTCTATATGAATATGATGAGAACAATCAACTAAGTGGGGGTAAGAGGGCAAGTGGGGGAGGGAGGGCAGTGGGTGGTAATTAGTCACTTCAGTGAAGCCTCAGTGAAGCGGCAAGAGATATACCTGTTGATGCTCCAATGGCCCCAATGAGTATAGCTGGTAGAGCCATCACCAGGCACCCAAAAGCTGCCAAGAAAGACAACACTTGAGCATAGGTAGCTGAGGATGAAGAGAGGACCCGCTGGAAGTAGGCTTGCCATGGGATTCCACCCAGCATCTGCATGGGAACAACAGGGACTCAGAATGAATTGGAGGCAAACAACATCTATTAGGTATTTTTAAATAAGATTTCTTTTTTACAGTCACATTCACAATAGTGATATGGATGGTTCTGATGTGCCATAAAGAGTCCTACATGACAAACATCTCAACTGCGATCATGTCATTGTCACGTCTTCAACTGTGCAGAATTTCCTCAAGTTTTTTTCCTTCATCATTACGTAGCCCAACATTTTCTATTTTTTAACTTACCTACTTCAAACTGCATTACAACTATCCAGAAGCATTCAATCTGTTTTCATCTGGAGGTTTTAACCATCACAAAATTGTCTCAAAAAATTAAGATTCTGAAAGGAGGAATTTTAATTTGAATCAATAAAACCCAATAAATATTTCTGAACGAGGTAATAGGATGGTAGTGAGGGGAATGGTTTCTTGCTCTGGAGCAACCTGTTCATATCGGAGAGTCAATGCAACACACTGTTTTCCAAAGTGGAGTGTGCAGAGTGCTCAAGACAATATAGACAATAGCATCAAATAAAATATTAGAATTTCTATTTATACTCTTTTTTTACCTCATACTTATATGTTACATTCTTTTTATTAAATGATTATATAATGTATTAGTACACTATGTATAAGTAATTCATAACTACATATATCTACATTGGGAGTGTGCTTAAAATTCTTACTGAGGATATGCATTCATAAGCGTTTTGGAGACAGCGAACTATAATGTAATTTGTAGCCTGCTATAAGGAGGTATGTATGGGAAGAAAAATGAGAAAATTAATTATTCAGGAGTAACAGAGGGAGGAGGGAAAGTGGGACAAAGGACAACTGCATGGTAATCAGGAAAACCTATAGAATTGCATGGAGTCAGTCCCTAAGCATTGAGAGGGTGTCACTATATAGAGATGGAGAGAAGAGAGCCCCTGGCAGAGAATTCAGTGTGAAAAAGGAAGAAAGAAAAAAGAGCAACGAAACAGCTCTGAGACCACTGTGTCTTTGGCTTAATTAAAGGTTAGGGTGTGTGGGAGTGGCTAAAAAGGAGTCTGGGGAATACCTTCCACCATGATTACTGCCATGGTTCTCTGACTTGCATACAGTCGGTGTTCAATAAATATTTATCATATGAATGAGTGAACTAGTGAATGAATTTTCCATATTACAATGTACTGAAGTTATTTCTTTAATTGCCTGTCTCTCACTGAGCTCTAAATTCTGGGATGTCTTGTTTATCACTCTCACCTCTGTGTTAATCAGCGTGCTTTTTACATATTGATTCCAGGATAATCTCTTTTGTATAAAAGCTATACATGTTCAAAAGTAAAAAAAAAGTAAAAGAAGAAATTCTAAAATTCATAATCCATGTGTCAAGTCTGTATTCTTCCAAAACTTTTCCTTTGGTTTGCAACCTGTTAATCAATACAGATCTTCCTTGACTTATGATGAGGTTACATACCAATAAACCCATCATGAGTTGAAAATATCTGAAGTCAAAATCAAAAATGCTTTTAATACACCTAACTTAGTGAACATCATAGCTCAATCTAGCTTACCTTAAACATGGTCAGAACACTGACATTAGCCTATAGTTGGGCAAGTCATCTGACATAAAGCCTACTTTATAATGAAGTGTTGAATATCTTATATAATTTATTGAATACTATACTGAAAATGAGAAGCAGCATGGTGTATGGGTACAGAATGTTTGTCAGTGTATCCGTTGTTCACCCTCATGGCTGACTAAGAGCTGTGGCTTGCTGCCGCTGCCCAGCACAATGAGAGAGGATCATACCATCTATTGCTAACCTGGGAAAAGACCAAATTCAAACCAGGGTTTCTACTGAATGCTATTGCCTTCTCCCCACTGCAAAGTTGAAAACCTGTTAAGTCGAACCATTATAAGTCAGGACTGTCAGAATATCATTAACATTTTCTATGTCAATGAATATTCATTAATAATTTCAATGCCTGTATGAATCGATACACCATAATTTACATGCCAATCTCTCTGGACATTTAAGTCATCAGAGCTTTGTAAGTAAGGTAAAATCTGACCTCCACAGACAAACAGAAGGCCTGATGGCAAGGTGGAAGAAGGGTTTGGACAAGTGAGATGCGGGTGGGCCGCCACATGGAGACTGTGAAGGGCCACCACAATAGGCCAGCTGAGGAATGCTGTCAGCGAGCACTGGGAGATCCGTGGAAGGTGGAAGGTATCCAGAGCAGGACTCCACAAGTCACTTATGACAAGTGGAAGTTGAGAGAGACAGTTGGAAGATCAGAGACCCCTGGTGAAACATTTCAAGGCATACTTCTACATTTCACTCATTCGTTCATTCAACATCTATCATTTCACTACCACTTATGCTACATTTTGAAGAATGAATATGACTTAGTCATATAATTTTGGGGGGATGGAAGAAACTTTAGCAGTCATTGGATATAATGCCTTATCTTGAAGATTAATAAATTTGAGGACTAAAGCGTAGTGTAGGAGAAATGATTTTAGGGTCTTGATGCTTTATTTCAATCCCTCATTCACACAATGGTGTGATTATCAACAGACTGCCTATCTGAGTGCCATAATCTCCTCCTAATAATCATAAACATAACTGCCATGCAGATATAATTTCACATACTTATAATATTTAACCCCTTTCTCCATTCAATTCATAATTATAAGCCATTCTAGAAAAATGTCAGCCAATACATTTCTTAACACTCCTTGGGAAAGAAGCCCTCCCCCCAACCCCTGGAAACAACTTGTTTGCATGTTTTCCTGCCTTCTTACCAGGAATTTCTCTACTGGGACAGACACATCTACTTTTAGTGCTGAAATTTAGCAAAGTGCCACAAATACAAAGTGAAATCATAAAATATTGTGAACCCTCAAAAAAGGAAAAAAAAATAATTTCCCCTTAATTTTTATATAAACGTTAATCTATTTCTTATTTTGAAATTAAATACAGTGTTTTACTTTTGTAAGTAACCCCTCCAGTTAGCAAAATCACAAAATCTGGCAGGTTCTTTTGGTTTTCCAAAAGAAAACCTTTATTTCTTCTGTACCCCACGTCTCACTACCGACACCTTCACCCCGATGTCTGCAAGTTCCTAAGCTGTGTCTGTCTTCCCAGCTCTTCTTTCTTGGCATCTTTCCTGAATGACACCTCCTTTCCCAACTTCTGTCTGCACTAAAGGGCTTTTGGCAATAATTTACTTACTCAGTAATTAGAAACTGAATGGGTTACTTATTTCAGAAGAAGCTGGTTTTAATGCCTTAATCCAAAATACAAATTAAAACTTTTAGATGGCTTGGCCTCAGACTGGGGAAGTCCCTGGGGGTAGGGCATGGTATTTCTTACTTACAGCACAATAGAAATGTGGATACACCATACATCACCCTGTAGACATTCTCCCTTTAAGGCTTCACTCTCTCTCCACTTTGACACTAGTCAGCTACCATAGTAAGTGGCTCCATCCTTCCAACAGGAAGTAGTCAGTGCAGAAATAGACATGAGCCAGTAGGTGATATTTACATACAAACCTTAAATCTGAAAAATGCACTTGATTTTAGGAAAAATGAGATTGCCTTCCTCAGTTAAGGGCATTACTTACCAACAGCAGAAAACTATCAAGCCAAGTATAGACTTCAAATGATTCAATGGTCCCCAGCCAAGGCTTTTGGTATCTGGCATGCAGAGCAGTGTACCCAATGTCAGTAACTGCAGAATGCGACAGGGCGAAAGGGACGCTGATCCACTGCAACCAGAGAGGGACGTGACAGAGTTAAGCTATGGCTTTTGCCTGTCTCATATACACAAGTCTTAGCCATGTGTTTACTTTCTCATAGACCACATAGCTCGGTTGTTCTTCTTGTTCAGATAGAGAAGAACCTGGAATCACGTTCTCTGTGGGACACCATGAAATACTGGTTTACAAAAGTTAGAAGAACGTATTATCTATGCCTGTGCTTAATTATACCATGTCATATCAATTATAGGGGCAGTCAGCCATACTTTGGGAAGAAAACATTGAATCTGAGAACATTATATCGTTATATAAACTTTTAATGTTTTCCTTGAATTAGAGAAAGATGTCCATTTATTAAAGTGATGAGGAAAGATCTGACTGAGAACTTGGTGGGTGAGACAAAACTTCAAGGGCGAGCCCAGTGCTAATAAAAGAAGGAAGAGAATAGGGAGGCCTTCTAGGTAGAACAAGGCAAACAGGAGAAAAACATACAGGGTGTGCACAGAGATCTTTTGCATGACAAGTTGTGCTGGCATGGGAGTGGCTTAGGGAAATGGGAGAGATAAACATAAATATATGGCAAGAAATTTGAATTGCAAGCTAAGGGGTTTATATTTTGTTTTGTGGGCAACTGGAAGCTAGAGGCATTTCTTCTGAGTTGTAAAAAGATTTTAGTAGATTTCTTCTGCATTTTAATATTATAGATGTGAACAGTGAGCTTAGGAGAAGGAGGAGTTAGGAAAAGAAGTGGGTGCACTGATATGACCCAGATAAAGGCCTTAAATAGAGCCATGATACTAGAAATGGAAAGACATTAGTACCGAAAAGGGTTCTGAAGGGAGACTGAGCAGCCCTTAGATTAACAGTAGGAAGAGGTTAGAGAAAGAAAATGAACAGATGAACCTCAAATTTACAGTTGTGGAGCTCCAAGGATGGTGATAAAATCAACAGAATTGGAGAATTTGAGAGGAGATCGTTTAAGGTGTGAATTGATTCATTAATTATGTATGCATGTATAGCCATTTGAAGCTTGGAAAACAAACCAAGCTTGGCCTTTTACTCAGTCAAGTCAATAGGCTCTTAACTAGTAACCAAGACAACTCGATTCCTCATTAGTTTAGTTACATTTTGTAGCAGAAAACCACTCTAACATCTATCCCCACATATATTTGTCCTATCATCTTTATACTTGCATGCTTGATTTATGCTCCTGTGTATTTTAAGTTCTGATCTCATGAAAAGCAATGAGAAATTACATATATCATCAATAAATAACTTCATCCCCTAGCATTGTCTTTCTTGGTATACCAAGTGCATCAGCTAAGAGATCTGTCATTGCCAAACCAAACTTGCCTCCAAGTTCTGAACAGAGATTTATTTCTGGAAGTTTATGGTGATACTAAGCAGAATTCTGAATTTCAGCACTGCCCACTTGCTTTTGACAATTTAAAAATAAAAAAGTAGGAGTAATTAAGCAAATTAAAATGACTTGAATTCAACTAAGATACTAGTGAATGAGATTCCATGAAATGCACATAGGTGCTAAGGGAAAAAGAGGAAATGTTGTGATCATTGCTAGCATATGTAAATTTATGGCTAAACTGTAATTTTAGATGTAGTCAGTTCTTTTAAAATGCTCCTCCCATTATTACAGATGCTAGAAAATAAAAAACAAAACAAAAATGAGTATGAGCTTCGACTTCATTTTTCATTCCTAAATGTCTAGTGTAAGCATTAAAATAGAGTGAAGAGCGTTTCATTCTGAGAAAAAGAAGGAAAAAAGAGGAGGCTCAAGGGTGCTTTAATCATCCATGGGAAGGGAGTCATGATGTGCAGCCTTAGCTGCTTCTCTCTGTGGCCCTTCTCCAAGGGCACTGGTCCTATAGGCTACACAGCTGAGATAACATACATGTGTATGAAGCCACTACAGTGCCCAGCACGGAGTACTCACACCATTTTCTTGGATATGTCTTAGGTGTTGGATATTATTATATGTATAATAATACAGTCTTCACATTTTAAGATGTTGAGTTTGCAAAGGCTCAACGTTGACTAAAATGTGTTCATAATACACAAAAGCACTTTTAATGTAATACCAATAATACGTCTCATAATTATACAGTACCTTTTACTGAATAAAACACACATATATTACCTAATTTATTTTAGGATTTATAAGTAATATATAATAAATATCTCTAGTATCTTATATAATTAAGGCTTTTCTTTGTTTTTAGGCCCTGAATAGTGATGATTAATATTGAAACCCACAGTTTTTCAAATGTGATAATTTCTGTCTTATGAGAAGTCTTATGGATCACTTAAAATAATTACAGGGGAAGGTTAAGAGACGAGTGCAGTGGGTGCCTGGGTGGCTCAGTAGGTTAAGCATCTGTCTTTGGCTCAAGTCATAATCCTTGGGTCCTTGAATCGAGCCCCACCTCAGGCTCCCTGCTCAGTTACCTTTTAACTCTGAGTAAAGTGTGTTGCCTTCAAACTCAAGGAAGAGCACACATAAGTTTCCATCGAACATAGGCATGAAGGAAAGGAAGCCCTAGACCTTTCTAAGAATTAAACTGAGGGCATATTTTCTGTCAAAATCTAACAAAATGATTACATTCTTTTGTCCAATTAATTCACTGAGAAATCTAAAATATCAAATGGTACATGACTTACTATGTATTACTCATGATGGAAAATAACATTTCTATTAATTTTTGCTGAGTTCATATAAAATACCACATTACATTTTAGAAAGAAGGAGAGGAAAGTAAAAGAACAAAGAAAGTCTGTGAATGGCTCCACTTACCAGGCCTATGAAGATGCAGAAAAGCTGAACTACATCGGTGTAGGCCACAGAATAGAGACCACCCACCAGCGTGTACAGAGTGGCAATCAGTGCAGAGACGATGACCGAAGCTTGCACGTTGACGTTAATGATCACGCTGATGGTGGCTCCTGAAGAAAGCGGACAAGAGAATGCTGTTGTCAAGGTACTCAAATGGATTCCATTTTCTGTGCAAGGATATATTGAATGATCAGTGACAGCAGGTATTTCCCTGTGTCATGAGAAATATATTGGATGATAATAGTTAATGTAAGTTTTCATATTAAAATCTTAAAATCTCTATAATTTGCATATGTATATACATATATATACTTATGTATATAAATACACATGTTTAAAAATATTCTTTCTTTATGAAATTGATGCTTTGGTAACTTGTTTATGTGTGACACCCAAAATTCAGGACATGACTTCAGAATTCCATGAAATATACTAAATTTAATACTACTATAAGAACTTGCAATAATTTTTACTAGCTATATGCACTATATTTACTCAAATCCTTGAGATAAGCACAATCACCCATTTTCCATTTTGCATTAACTTTGACCCCTGCTATCTTTTTAAATTTATTTTTATTCTTTTAAAGCTTGATTTATTTATTTTTGAGAGAGAGAAATAGAGAGCAAGCAGGGGAAGGGGCAGAAGGAGACAATATCCACTCCCACTGAGTGCAGAGCACAACTTGAGTTTCCATCTCACGACTCATGAGATCAGGACCTGAGCCGAAACCAAGAGTCAGACGCTTAACCAACTGAGCCACCCAGGTGCCTCCTTGTTAGCTTTTTTTAGATGACAGATGGTATAAATACCAAGGTTTAAGATAATTTTGTTGAAGAAAATAATAAAATTGGTAAATTTTATTCCAGTCCCACTGCTAAGACACCAATATGTTGAAGGGCCCTAGATTTCAACATCATCTTTTTAAGTAATTTTCATTATCAGAGTTTTAAACCTGCCTTAGAAATAAAATTTATGTTTTTCTTATGTTATGACTTGGTTTATTTTGTTTGTTGGTGTCTATATTTCTAATGAGAATGTTAGGGAATGGACAATTGGACCATTATGGTTCTTGGATTTCCAGTTCAGAATTCACTTGCTGCTTTACAAACCCTTTCCCCATTGTTCTCAAAAGTAATATATTTTATATTGTTAAACACAGCAATTATAGGAATGTTAACATACATGGAACAAATCTGTGATTTTTTTATATCATTAATTGCAATCTTATGTTCTGCCACCGCTCCTCAATTGCATGCTAACTGTGTATGCAACCTACCACAGATGAAAATCCATTTTCTAAAGGAGCAGCATAAAATATTTTGATCTAAGATAAAAATATAAAATCTTTTTCAGGATTTTTTTTCTTAGTGCTTTGGATTTGGTAACAAAATTATTTTCTTGAGTAAAGCCAATTAATAAAATGAAAATTCTGGTATGGAATTGGAAGATGAAGACAAGGGAAGGCGGTCAATTATTTCAATTATTTATGTGACTCTGGATAACTGACTGAGTTATTGTTGTATAGATATTTAACAAGTTTTTTTTCCCTGCAATTATTTACTTCATGTTGAAACTTTAGTTGCAATTCTTTGCCATTCTTCTTTTGGCCTGGTTTTCTTCTTTAATAACAACATTTCTAAGTCATATTTCATGAATTATGAAAAGTACAATTATTACCCTGCCTCTTTGGACTTCTGTTTAATTTTCTACCCATTAGTTAAAATTTTATTAATTCTATACCTCCAAAAGGTAGGGAGGGAGGCTGTATAGAAGAAAGATCACTGAACTAGGATTCTAAAGATTTGGATACTGGGGTAAATACTACCACTTGGTTGCAACTCAGTGGTTTTAAAGAAGTCACCCACTTTTCCATCACTATTAAGATTAGGATCAATTTTTTCTCTAAAATATTTTCTTTTTTTTTAAAGATTTTATTTATTTATTTGACAGAGACACAGTGAGAAAGAGAATACAAGCAGGGGGAGTGGGAGAGGGAGAAGCAGGCTCCCAAGGAGCAGGGAGCCTGATGTGGGGCTCGATCCCAGGACCCTGGGATCATGACCTGAGCCAAAGGCAGATGCTTAACAACTGAGCCACCCAGGCGCCCCTAAAATATTTTCTAAATCATTCCATCATTTGTAGTGAGTAAAATAAGTTATACTTCCAGATCTGCTATGAAATATTACTTTATTCATGCAAGCATAAAAATAAATATACTATAAATAAAGTTATAAAAATTCACTGAGTTTGAGTTGTGAGAAGTGTAAACATACATTTTTTAAGATTTTATTTATTTATAGTGAATGGGAGTTTATTTATTTATTTAGAGTTGGGAGAGGGGCAGAAGGACAGGAAGAGAGAAATCTTAAGCAGACCCTGAGCTGAGTGTGGAGCCTGATGCAGGACTTGATCCCATGTCACCGAGACCATGAACTGAGCCGAAATCAAGAGGTGGATGCTTAACTGACTGAGCCACCAAGGCACCCCTAAATATGTATTTCTTAAAAAAATGCATGTGAAGGATGTTATCTGTTTATGCCAAGAAGAGAGTTTAAAATTCTCCCCAGTTTCAGTGGTGAACTAAGCACATTCACAGGAAGGTGGTAATAGATCTTATATTTGTCTATTCTTAAGCATTCCAAGTCATTTCTAATAAACTCTAATTTTGAATTATGTCCAACTATTATTTTTGAAGAAAATATGTGTTAATTTAAAAATACGCATTCTGTTTACCAGAGCATATATTTCAAGCAATAGCAGCAATGATTCTATACATGTTGTTTGATATGTGTGTGCATCTATGTAGAGAGGGATATATATATATATATATCAACATATTTTACATATATATTGTCACACACACAGACATAGACACACACATATACAAAAGCAACTAATTGCAACAAAGTTCAGAGTGTAGTTCAAGTTTATATTTCCAAAATACTTTAGAAATATTAGTTGGAACACCTGTGTGGCTCAGTTTTTGAGCGTCTAAGTCTTGATTTCAGCTCAGATCATGATCTCAGGATCCTGAGTTTGAGTCCCACTTCAGGCTCCCCACTCAGCAGGGAGTCTGCTTCTCTCTCTCTCTTCCTCTGCCCCTCCCCATGCTCGTGCTCTCTCTGTCTCTAACATAAACAAATCTTTTTTTAAAAAAAGAAACATTAGTTTATTAATTCAATCCTCCCTTTAGGGCTCTGTTATATAAATTGATCTTTATTCCATAAGAGTGAACATTTTGTATTTTGTTAGCTATTCAGCCCACTCCTTTTTTAATATCTCAGCAGGCAGCTTGTTCTTAAAATCAACACTTTCTAGTGTCGAAACCAATGACAAATAAACTACCCATTGCTTGCTTCTTGGCTAATGAGAGCAAGGTGGGAAGGGAGGTGTATTTTTACACATAATTTCAGTAGGATATAAGTGCAATGGTAATTGTGGAGTATTATTATATTGCACCAAAAAAGTACAACATTTTCAACTGAGTTATACAGCATTTTATAGTTATCAAACTCTCTTCTTTTCTACATCAAATCATCCATTCAGTTTACAGTTGGAGACCAAGAAGGAAAGATTATATGGGAGTTTGAAAAAGAAAGGAGTGAAAGGTAACATAAACTAATATCTGATATTACAGAGGTTAGATATGATAATAATACAGAAGCCAAAAGGCAAGTGTGTGGTCTGGAATAAATACCACAGAAGGACATTCATCTTATTTTACTTTTGCTGTGACTACTTGGGGTCTAGCTGTAGACTGAAGCCCTTTATCTTCATTTGTAAGAAGAGATGGAGAGAAACATACATAGATACCTTGATGTCAAACAGACATAGTTCACTGAGGAAGGTTATGGAACTTCCAACTCTCTTGATCTTCAAGAAGGAACTCAACGCTCAGTGAAATAGTTTATATTTTCCCCTGATCAAAAGGCAGGTTATCAAGCCTGACTGAAAATCTCCCACCATCCCACTGAAATCTCTCGTTTTCTAAACCATATTAAGTGGGCTGAGAATCATTGAGCCCAGGATAGGTGGTCCTTAGCAATTACTGGAGTCTCAGTTCACTTTCTAGATCCCTAAACATGTGTAGAACCCAGTGCTTTAGGATTACATTGAGAAAAGAAGTAATATTGTTTTTCTTTTGAAGAAAGTAGAGAGGATTCACTCATTCACTCATTCATTTGTGATAAGATTACAAGGCACAAGTCCTGCCTTCAAGAAATTTATAATCCCTTTTGTGAGGTTGGATTTGGGCATGATAATAAACAGGCACATAATCATACAAAGTGCTAAGTCCAGTGAAAACAAAATTCCAGGTGCCTAAGGAAGCCCACAGGAAAGGCATCCAGAAAGGTCAGGATTACTGGTCTGAGTAAGTGACATCTAAGAGAAGACTGAAGGACATTTCCTGGTTAGCTAGGCAGATGTGCAAAAGGGCAGTGGGGAATGAGTCCAAAGTAGAGGGCATCTGGACTTGCACAGTGTTAGAGGCAAGAGAGGAGGTGAGGTCTAGAGTTCTGGAAAAAGGAAGGAGGAGGGGCGATGATGAGAGGAATCAGAGCTTAAATCATAAAAAGCTTTATGCACTTAAAAGTTTGGAAAGGAACAGTAAAGGGACATGATCAGATTTGCATTTTAGAAGGATGAGTCTGTACTATGTGTAAACTAGAGGAGGAATGCTGAACAACAAGCGGGGAGATGGTTGCATTCATCCAGGTGAGGGAGGCTGCAGGTGGCCTGGCCTGTGGCTTAAGGGAGTAAAGTTGGGTATGTGATGTTCCGTTAACCAGAGAGAGGCAGAGGTCCTTACCTAAGGCAGAGAAAATGGCTGCAGCCCAAAACATTTCTCCCATTAGTGCAGGAATAAATAGGAGCCCACCCATGCGTTTTCCATAGATCTGCTGAAATGGGTCTAACATGGTCACATATCCCTTGGAACGCATAGGCTTTGCAAAGAACAAACCACCTAAAATAAATTAAACAAGTGTTTATGAGAAAATAAAAAATTCATAAGATAATAGTTTTTGCCAACTTTTTACTATGCTATAATTTCTCAAGGGAAATAATTTTTTTAGAACACTGATATGTGTGGAAGAACTAGTCTGAAATATACTGTGAGTACAGAACCAAGACATATTTAGCAACCAAACATGAATTTCTTAATACATTTGTCATTGTATGCAGCCAAAGTGCCATTGAATGGTGTATCTAAGGCACGTGGATTGAAAAACATGGACCAGTGTGGCACTCACTAAAATGATTTTGTATCACCCAGCATAACATTCAGACACTGATTAAGCACAAGATCCAATAAATGTATTTTAAGTGCAAAAAAAAAAAAATAGGAACTCTGTTATATAATATTCTTGACCTTTTCTTAGTTTGATTTACAAAAAGAAATTCAGGTACAATTCAAGTTGATTCATTGTTAATGATACCTCTATACAATTTTTGAAAGAAAAAAGATCATATGTTAAGAAATTCATAATTCTCTTGCCATAGATCAAGGGATTTTTTTAAAAAACATACTCCATAATCAAGGGATCAAATAATCTTAAGCATTAGTGTTACTGATTTCTGGTAACATCTACTTGAGAGATTTCTGGTAACATTTTTTTTTTTTTACAATAGTTATTCACAGTTTGACTTGTTATTGCACTTGTTGTTTGTACTTCTGTTCTTTATGCTTTACTGAGTGGGTCACTAAGGTTTAAACTTTCACTTACCTAAAATCAGACTCAGAGAATATCCAATTGGTGCCTGAGCCCAAGCTAGACCATAGTCTGGTACATACACTGCTTCAGCTGTCCCATTGATGTAACCTCCTCCGACCCAGGTGGCTGAAATAGAATGAACAGTGAGGGAAAGACATGGCCATACTTAGCATACTGCTCAGTTTAACACAGTGGCCATTAGCCTCCTGTGATTATTGAGCACTTGAAATTTGGCTACTCTGGTTTGAAATGTTCTGAGTGTAAAATACACATTGGATTTCAAAGACCGAGTATGCAAAAGTAAATGTAAGCTGTCTCAATATTTTTTTTTGTATTAATTACCTGGTGAAATGAAAACATTTTCAGTGTATTGAGTTAAATACATTCTATTATTTATATTTATTCCCTTATTTTTTAATGTTCTTTAAAGTGGTTTGTAGAAAATTTAACATTCCCTTTATGGTTCACATCATATTTCTCTGGACAGTGTTGCCCTGGGTCTTTTCTGAGTCTATTTAGTCATCAATACTTTCAAATAATATTGTTATATCCCAAAGTCTGACATTATATACAAAATATTATATGACTATTTCTATTCTCAATAATAGTATAACTTACGTTCCAGCCTCCATAACATGAGGTCAAGTTTCTTTATTTTACAGGCCTTCTGTTTTAACTGTATTGATCTTCTCACATTGATCACAATTATATTCCTGGTGCAGGGGAGTGGCAGGGGGAGTATTGCACATGTGCAGTTGTGGATGCATGTGCTTTTTTTTTAAATTTTATTTTTATTAATAGGGTCACTTCTTAAATACCTTAAACATCTTACTTACTTTCTTAAAATGTTAAAGGAGAGATGACACTTTTGCTCCAAGGCTTCCTAAAGTGAGTGTTAGTTATCTTTTCCCTCCTTCTTCCCAAGTCCCAACATGCACTTAGGCATAAGAAATAATTTAGAATTTGAAATGTTGACTGCATACCCACTTGTATTCTTTGTTTTAATCTGGGTCTTTTAGTAAGATATTTGATATTTCATGGAGAATAATAAGGAATATTATCTTCTTCAGGTATTATTTAATAGAATATCTGTAACATAATAGTTGAAGGAGGAGGTCAAGGAACCAAAGAAAAGACATGTTGGTTAAACAAGGCTGGGCCAAGAAGAATCTATAAACTCTACCATTTTCTGTGAGAAGACAATATCATATTTGATTATTGCTGAAAAGCTAAAGTTAATGGAACACTTAAATCTTTATAGTTTATATCCCTTCAAGAGTATTGCCAAAAATTAAAATCTCTTGTAGAATTTGTATAAAATTATGAGGAACAAAGCCTGGCTTACCAGATATGAGCCTGAATTCTAGGCTATATCATCCAGCTGGGAATAAAATTTGACTCTGAAAAGTTATTTGAAATCTCACAAAATGTAAGTAAAATAAAAAAATATGTACATGAAACTATCAAAGACAGGTAGATACCTATTGTATTCATGCCAAAATTTATCTGGCTTTTGATCCAAATACAAAGCAAAGAAGAGAATGTTGCGGGGTTAGTACTATTATTTGAAGGTTAACATGAAAAGACTTCCCTGCAAAGGAATTTTAGACACATTTAAATGGAAAGTTTATATACAAAATCCTAAAGTGGACAAATACACACTTAGCAGCCACTCTCATCTGCTTGGAAGCTTTTACATGGGTGTTAACAAATAACAAATGCTATTATTTGTTTCCTCATTCTAAGCCTTCCAGAAAATTTAAACAGGGTTTCCCTGGGCAGAAGACATGAACAAACATTCCCCAAAGAAGACATCCACATGGCCAACAGACACATGAAAAAATACTCAACATCACTCAGCATCAGGGAAATACAAATTAAAACCACAATGGGATACCACCTCACACCAGCCAGAATGGCTAAAATTAACAAGTTGGGAAATGACAGATGTTGGCGAGGATGCAGAAAAAGGGGAACACTCTTACACTGTTGGTGGGAATGCAAGCTGGTGCAGCCACTATGGAAAACAGTATGAGGTTCCCCAAAAGTTGAAAATAGAGCTACCCTATGACCCAGCAATTGCACTACTGGGTATTTACCCCAAAGATACAAATGTAGTGATCCAAAGGACCCCAATGTTTATAGCAGTAATGTCCACAAGAGCCAAACTATGGAAAGATCCCAGATGTCCATCAACAGATGAATATAAAAAGATGGGGTACACACACACAAACACACACACAATGGAATATTACACAGCCATCAAAAATTGAAATCTTGCCATTTGCAATGACGTGGATGAAACTAGAGGGTATTCTGCTAAGCGAAATAAGTCAATCAGAGAAAGACAAGTATCATATGATTTCATTCATATGTGGAATTTAAGAAACAAAATAGAGGATCATAGGGGAAGAGAGGAAAAAAATAAAACAAGATGAAACTAGAGAGGGAGACAAACCATAAGAGACTCTTAATCATAGGAAACAAACTGAGGGTTGCTGGAGGGGAGGGGGTTGGAGGGATGGGGTAACTGGGTGATGGACATTAAGGAGGGCATGTGATGTAATGAGCACTGGGCATTATAGAAGACTGATGAATCACAGACCTGTACCTCTGAAACCAATAATACGTTATATGTTAATTTAAAAAATAAAAATAAATAAAAATAAAAATAAAAATTAAAAAATAAATAGGGGTTCCCCCCTCCACTGGATGTCTAACTAGGACTTGAAGAAATGATTCTCACAGGTGCAGAAGCAGACCTGATTCTCCTGCTAGGCAACTGGAACAACATGCAAGCAATGTTTTCATTGCATAAAGTAAATGGTCTTATGAGCACAAAGCTTATTAATGGTCATTTTTCATTGTGCAGGTCTCCTCTCCCTTGTCCAAAACAAACTTGGTGACTGAATATCAACATTATAATATAGAAGTGAAGACTTGGTTACTTATCATGTTAAAGTCCTCCCATTTTTACCAGTCTCATCCCTTTTAGGCCAGAATTTGCTCTTCATGTCTGTATATTTCATGTCAGATTCACCAGTGAGAACAAGAATTCTTTCAAACTATATGCATTTTTATTTTTTAATCATTATTCTTTGTCAAATGTATACAATTAATGAATCTGACAAGGTTTAGATAATATGGTTCAGATTTTAAATGAATTATTATATTGACCAAGATTCTTTTCAGTTCTGAAAGACTGAAAAAAATCTTTAAAAAATGAGCTAGACCATGACACTTCATATGAAATATCATGATTCAAATTTTTCTATATACTTTAATAGACTATTACATTGAAAAAATCATTCTAGATGATAAAAGAACAAATTCTGAAATATTATCTTTATGAACACAATAGATATAACATTAGAGTAATAGAACATTATAATGAACAATATTTACAATGAACAAAGACTTTGATATAGAGCAGCTCATTTATTCTTTTCAACAGTTTCTTAAGTGAGATCAACTTTCACTGTTTTTTGTTTTTCTTCTCATTTTCTTTGTACAGGAAAAACCTGAAGGGAATATAATCACAGTGTTTTAATTCACTTCAGTTGCCAGTATCGCATCTGGAACTTTAGGGTAGAGAAGAAATGTTTGTGGTATAATAAACAATGAAAATGAAGATGTAAAGTTGTGTATGGTGTTCATCAATAGGTGGATAATAAGAGAAACCACATCTGAAAATGTATACCAACATTTCAGTAAACATATATGCAGGTGGTAGGCTTATGGATGATTCTTACTCTTTTTGTACTTATCTAGCTGCGTATATTAGCTATCACAGAAAATATTTTGCATGATACAATTTGCTCTATATATGTGTTTATGTAGAAAAACTGCGCAACAGAGAGTAAAAAAAAAAAAAAGGACCTCTTTACAAAGGAAGTGCCTTTATAAAGAAAGGAAGTGAATTCAGCTTCACTTCCTGGAGGTCTGCATGCAGTGCACTCTGCAGGGGCTTCAGGGCGTGGCTGCCAGAAGACCTGGGTTTGGTGCTGATTCTTGTCCTTGTTAACCACGTAACTCTGTGTCCTTACTTAACCCCAGAGCCCTTTCATGGTGCACAAACATAAAGAGCTTCATGAAGATCATATGAAACCATATACAGTTGACAAAGAGTTAAAGAACATAAAATATGCATATCTGAAAAATAAAACCTATAGTCCCTAAACTATTCTAGAACATGGTAGGTTTCAGATGGCCAGCAGAGATGTAGTCTTCACAGATTGCTTTGGTAAACTATTCCATTTACAGATGAATTGTTTGAATAGCACATCAGGAATGAAATTGGGCATCATTTGGATATGATTTCTGATGGGATATTTTCCAGTGGGCCCTCAGAGTTCCAGTTAGTGTGGATTATATTGCTAATGTTTAAAAACCTAGTAAGAATCAGAAGTGAAATGTGTGTTGTTAGTGAATATTAAAGATATAATTTTAAATTGTTGTTTTTCAGAAATATTTTCCACAACCAAGAAGAATATAAAAGAGGAACAAGTCACCACTTAAACAGAGCCATCTCAGGGCATCAGACCCTCAGAGCCCGGAGGTGGTTTGAGAGGGAGAGGGCTGCAGATGCTGGTTGAGGCATTCCTGTTAGGACATGCCCTAGCTTTTCCCCTTTTATATCAAGGTTCATGGAAATCATTGTTTTGTTTTGTTTTGTTTTGTTTTGTTTCCAGTGCTGTGGATTCCTAATATGTGATTGTCTTCCCCTAAGGGAATTAGTTAATTAGTTTATTAAATGGGAGAATTAGGTTTCAAGACAGGGCATCTATCAATTTGGAATTGTGTTGCCCCTAACTGATTTATTTAGTTGAAAACCACCATCATTTAAGACAACCCAAAGTCACAACTTTGTGCCTGTGTTAGTGAACATGAGACACTGACTTGATCACATAACTTGTAAGACTAAGACACTTTTCTCCACCTGTTTTTACTCTGTTCCCACCCACTGAACTGTCCAGATAGCCCAGATTCATTTCATTGATATTCTGTCCAGCGATTTATTATAAAATCATTTTGTTCAAGTACTACTGAGTTGAAACCATTTTATTTTTGTTTTAGATAAATGTAAAATTATTTTTAGAATATATAAGCAGTGAATATAAGGGATCCCCAAAGGACAAAGGCTAAGGTATACTTTGTCACTCTGAGAAGCTAAGGAGGGGTGGGCAGCACAGAGCGGAGTTATCAGAACCTACCTGTCATGGTAAATCCACCCACCAGCAGACCAATGTCTCGGCCACCAACTATGATGGCCTCGCTGCGTTCTTCTGAGCTGCCACTGTTTTTGGTTCTCCAGGCAGCCCATATTCCAACCAGCAATATTAGAAGGTAGAACACGATGATAGCTATCAGTCCTTCCACTTGGAAAGTCATTTTTATTTAGGGGTCCAGATTCTTCCACAGCTAGCTACTTCATTAAGATTTCTGGAGAAAATACAGTAATGCATTATAAACCAGCCACGCATGCATAGGCAGCTGGGAATAAACCAGCTGGCTCATGAGAGATCCTGTGCCGCTTACAGACAAAGCACATTGAAATTACATGACACTACCAGTTGTGAACACATGCCCACTATTTTATTCTAATTACTATTTAACAGCTTAATATTGTTTTGAGCTTTCAAGAAAAAGAAAAAAATAGAAAATGCTGCTTAACAAATGTAAACACCATCATTTTTTGTGTTTAATAAATTCTTTCAATTTAAAATTAACCTTGTAACTTGGTCAAGAAATCATTTACAAAGATTATGTACTTGGCTTTTGGAACTAACTTACTATTCCATCTAGAATTATTCAGTGACTAAAGGGTAGTGTAAGACTACTCTGAGAATTTTAACAGTCTTACATTCATTCATTCATTCCTCTCTCTCTCCTTTCAAACAATTTCAGGGAATGGTTCCAGAAGAAATGTGACATGCAAATATCTGGGGGAAAAATACTTTAGGAAAATCAGTTTCAAAAACACATCAATTCCAATTTTCCACAAGTGCCTGTGGTCCAAGTTACTGTAGCAACTAAAGATGTTACATTGTTTAAAGAGTGCACCCTCTTGGGCAGCTCTTCTTCCTCATCCATTGTTCTTTGCTCTTTTCATCTCTCCCCCACCCTTTTAATGGTATATGCAAGAAAACGACTTAAAAATACAGAATTGCCTAAAAATATGAGGGCTTCAAAGGTAGTAAAAAAACAAAACTCTTAAGAGACAGATGTCAAGTTTTAACGCCTGCACTTTCTGGAATTCTTGTTCTCTGTTATTTTTCAGCCCTCGTGACCATGGCTATTTCATGCACTCGCGTTCACACAAGCACGTTTCTGGGGGAAATGCAAGTATTTGTGTCCGCAGGTGGGTGATGAGACCTTGGGCGAAAGAACTAGTCTCCCTCGGATTCAGGGGAAGCGAAAGAAGCGCGGGCAGGCTGGATGCGCTCCGCTTTTGTGAACACCGGAGCTGGGAAGTTCTTTCTTTCCCCGGCCCAGCCCGGCCGCTCCCCAGCTCCCCGCTATCCCTCCCGCGGCCCCGCGGCCCTCTCCAGCGCCCTCACTTTCCCGGCGATACACCTCGAGAGCCATGGGTGCCAGACAGTGGACCCGCCCGCGCATCCCCACCGAGAGGAGAAAAAGCCGCGTCCCTTCTACCTAAAGACGCCGATGGGGCGGCCACCGTGTCCCAGGGGGAGCGGACTCCGAGGCGCCCCGGACGACCGCTCTGTTCCTACCTGGAGTGGTCGCCGCGCGGGGAAGCGCTCCGCCGTCTGGGGCTCCTCCCGGGCCCGCAGCCCAGGCACCGTGGGGGTTGGGGGCTTCAAGGGTGCGGAGGGCGGGGGAGGGTCAGGGGTGCCGAGGGGCGAGGGGTAGGGCCAGGCGGCGGGGTTCCAGTCCCCGGTCTCCCAGAACCTGGGCGCGCGCGGAGCTGACAGGTGTGTGAGCTGGGGCGGAGGGCTCTCGACGCGGGCTAGGTGGCGATCGATCCCAGTATTGGCAAAAGTCCCCTTTATAAGGGTGGCCGGCGGGGGCGATCGTCAGAGCTGGGAAGGCGGACGTCAGAGCAAAGTGGTGCTGGGGCGGGTGCTGGGGACAGTGCCCTCGCGCGCTGGGTGGGTGTGGGGGGTGCGGAAGGAGGTGGCTGAGGACTGGGGCAGAGCCTGGGCGGTATCCCGCGCCCTGGCTGTGCTGGCCCAGTCTCGGCCACTCCCTCTCCCTCCTCCGGGAAGGAGGGCGTGTTCCCGAGGGTCATTTCGCATTCTGTTTTCCCAGGATTCTAGTTGGAAGCCGGGAATGGAGAGGCTGGGAGGATCTCAGCGCATCGTGTTTTCAGATGGAGCAGCTGGAAGTCCAACAGAGAGGAAGGAGCGAGAGTTGTCTTCCCAGACTTTGCCTGAAATGGTTTCTTACATCTCTTACTGAGTAGAGGGCCTCTCCCACTGCCTCCCATGGGCCTTGGGTGGAGGATGGTTCCAGCTGCCCTGGTGAGGGGGTTCTCTGAAGATATTTTGGGAAGGTTTCCAAAGTCATTTTAAATTCATGTCCCTTCCGCTTAAAAATGGGGTTAAAATGAAAGGCTCGTAAGAGTTGTCCAAAACAACAATGAAGTTATCACACAAGCCAGACAAGATAGTTTTCCTTGTAGAGCTAACTGGGTTGCTTGCCCACCAAAAATCCTATTTCAGCGTTACAAAAAATCTACTGTATAAGTTTAAAATTATCTACTATCTATCATCTCTCATCTATCTATCTATCATCTATCTATCATTTATCTATCTATCTATCATCTATCATCTATCCCTAGATATCTATATTTAATGTCTAGATTATTTATATATCCATGGATATAATTACACATCTATAGCTCTATTTATATATCTAGATATATAGATATATTGATAGATATAGATATCTGTGTGTATCTATATACATCTGTGAGTGTATGGAAAAAGAGAGAGAAGAGTCACAAGTCACAAAGCCACAAGTCCCTCTGGTCATTTTCTTTTTTTTCCATACTCTACTATGCCAGTCTATTGAACAATGGAATATGACAATCTAGTAACTGATAGAATAAGTAAGAGTATTCTGTAATTACTGGTCACCTCTCTCTAGGTGAAATTTTTAGACCACTCCCCATTTTCTTATGCTGGGTTTGGAAATGAACTTTCAAATTTATATCACTACTTCTTTGCTTTATTCTCTGTATAAACGGTAACTGCATCCAGTCACCTTGTTTGAGATAAGAGGCTAATGGAATTCAAACAGAAATTAGGACAAGGGAGAAGGGTCTGCATGGACAGTTCTTTCATCTGGTTCAAATAATTAGCTCACTGATTTTCTGGATAAGGTTTAGAAAGTCTTTCAATGTAACTCCCATTTTTACATGGAAGGGTTATGAATTTAAGCAATTTTAAGGAACTGACAGAAAACAGAGATGGAATTTCATATCATTACTCAAGTGCTTTTCAACAGAAACTCATTCATTCATTCATTCTTGATTTTGTTTTTGACAGTTATATATAAGTCAATTTCTGATTCTGGACTCTGGCCATGGGTTAATTTATGTCTTCCCTACCAGAATACCTTTATGATGGTGAGAAAAAGCTTGTGGTTGTAGCAGAGCAGATGTGGGCAATGAGAGTATATGAAGTAGTGCACAAGGCTAAGGTCCAGGGGGCTAGACTCAAATCCAAAGAGGGACAAAAGAGGTGGCTGTCCTCAGAGAAACATCCCCAGGGCTTTAGGCTGTAAGAATTGGGAATACAGCCAAGACACAGAGCTCTCTGTGGGGCCCACCTAATCCACTTTAAGAAGCCAGATTTACCAGCCTCTAGATTCAGTGCCAGATCTGGGAAAGTACAATGACCTTGAAGGTGGCCAAAATAATTCTGACCTGGCAGAGCAGCTATTCTTCATGACAGAAAGTACCAGTTGAAAATAACAACTGCTGATGTATTGAGTCTGCTTCTGTGGAGACATTTCCTCATTTGCTGAGCCCTTTGAACTCCTGCATCTTATCTAATGATGACGCCACTTGTGAATTTCTGCTCCAGGATGTACCTTCCCAGACACCCATTCCTATTTTGTCTTCAATACACGCCTCTTCATCCATCCACTCTCCTGAGAATATGGGAAATACATGGCAGTGGAAGCTCAATTGCAGCTTTGGAAGATAAAAAAGCAGATTTTGCCTTTTCAAATCATTTATTTATTTAACAGACATTTCCTAAGTGCCTTCAGTTCTAAGTATTGAGAAACATGGTGGAAAATTATATGGTCCCTGCCCTCAGGCAATTTATCATTAGTGAAAGGAAAGCAGGAACAAACAAGCAAAAGCTCTACTTGAGTATACTATTATAAATGCTGGCAAAGATATGTCATATCTGCACACACAGATTTTGCGGAAAACACACAAAAAGGCCTTAATCAGACCCACGTATTCTTGTAGGAGGGAGAGATTTATTCATTCAACAGACACAATATGAGGACCTACCATGTGCCAGGAATTAGGAGAGATGCTAGGTACATAGACAAAAACAAAGAGAGCTCTGTCCTCATTGAGCTTACAATCTACGACCTTACTATTCAAAGTAGGGTCCATGGAACAACAGTGTCAAAGATCATCTCTCTCTCTCTCTTTTTTTTCTTTTGTTTTTATAACTTTGGTCATTTGAGAAGGACATCACTTTTCATACACACATTGATCATGACTCAGATATGAATGACAATGCATATGACATTTTGGGGGAATCCATTCGCCTTAAGTCATTATCCTTCATAATGTCCCAGTTTCCTCATACAATTTTTATGTGAACCTTTCATAATTTCTAATTGATTATATTCAGCTTCAATTGCAATTTGGCCTGTCATTTGCAAACCAGGGTGATCGTCAGAGTCACAGAGTACTTTAAAGATTGTAGATACTAGGACCCCACAGCAAAAGTTCTAATTCGGTAAATCTTGGACAAGTGTTCAGAAATCTCTATTTAAATAGAGTATTTTTTTAAGAGTGACTTAAATTCACAGAAAATTTGAATAGAAGGTATTTCCCAAATACTGCCCAACACATGCACAGTCTCTACTGTTATCAATACCATCCACACCCTCACCCCCACCCAGTGATACATTTGTTACAATGGACGGACCTACACTAACACAGCATTATCACCCAGAGTCTGTAGTTTGTGTTAGATTTCACTCTTGGTGTTCTTTCTATGGGTTTGAAAAAATGTACGATGACATGTATCCACCATTATAGTATCATACAGACTAGATTTACTGCCCTAAAAATTGTCTCTACTCCAGTGATTCATTCCTTCTTCCTCACTAACCTGTGGCAACCACTAATCTCTTTACTGTCTTCATAGTTTTGCCTTTTTCAGAATGTCATATAGTTGTAATCAAATGGTATGTAGCCTTAATCAGGTTGGTTTCGTTCACTT